TTGAGATTTGAAGTAATACAAGATAACGGGATTTGTAAAAGAGAACTTGAGAAGTTGTAACACTAGGTAGGAGAGACAAACTTTGTGTGACCCTCAGATTGGCACAACAACAGTGCGTAGAGAGCTTCATGGAATGGGTTTCCATGGCCGAGCTGCTGCATCCAAGCCTTACATCACCAAATGCAATGCAAAGCGTCGGATCCAGTGGTGTAAAGCACGCCGCCACCCTTTATAAGTTACTCACGTAGAAAAGGCATTCACATCAGGAGTTCTGACTTTTCTTACTGTTTGCTCATTTTAAATTTATTGAAGCCAGAGACAGCCAAGCAAACAGCATTTTCAAAAGGAAAACCACAATGGCAGCTTCCTCTTTCTCCCAGCACAAGCTTCCTTTAGGGCCCATCCACACCAAAATTGTGCGTTTACATCCGGTTGCCCCCGAAACTGGTCAGGTTCTGAAAAACAAATGAAATGGTGTTCCATTTCTACAGACCTGATCGTGCTGGATCAGGAGGCGAGCTGATGTAAATGGACATATGTCCCAGTAGACCGACATGGGGTCCGGTCATTTCAGTTTTTGTACTCCATTGCAAGATGCAGGCAAAAACAAGACGGACGCGGATGTCACAGTGGTGACATCCAATCCATACTGTTTCCAATCAAGAGGGGATCCGTGCATGGATATCCTCCTGATCAGCCCGTGATAAAGGGGCCCAAGTCACTTAGTAGCTCTGTTACCAGGAATCTATGAAAACCGCTGGACCCCAAAACAGCACTGTCCTGTATGATAACTGGGGAAAGAACTGAATGCTTCTTGCGGTTCAGTACATGTATGTCCTTCAAAAAAAAGCTGCCCTTTTAATACCTCTTAAGGAAAAGAGTATAGTGTATTATTATTGTATTTTCATATTATATAGAGCTACTTAACTATCCAAGAATAGAAAAAGATTGCCAAAGTATAGATTACTTGCTTATACTTTAAGAATGTCATTTTGTCAGGCAGGGGCTGTTGAGATAAAAATCTTGATTTCCCCAGATGAGGACAAAAGGTTACAATCAGCCTCAGATGTATGAGGATCCTGTTAAAATGTACCATCGGTTGGCAAACAAAACTGAAACCTTTGTCCTTGTGTGGTGTAACCTCACTGTATAGCTGTAAATGTGCATCCAGGAGGCGGTGTCCCTCCCCCGACCTCTCAGCCAATCAGAGTATAGATGAGGTGTCATTCTCCCTGTTTAGCTTCAATGCACAGAATGTCTACACTGAGCAAATAAAGATGAACTGAATTAAAGAAGACCGCTACTACAAACTGAATAAAATATGGCCTCCATATACAAGACCATTAAAACCCTCTCTTGATAATGAACTTTCTTTTATTAATTGTTATGCACTACTGCAGTGATGTCAGTTTTTTGTGTGTGTGGCAAGCCCAACTACTATGAAGAATGAGAATCCCTCCCCCTATTTAATCTGTGCTGTTAACCAGCATAATCTAGGGGTATATCTATGAAAGTGTGCACATGAGATACACTGGCTACTCCTCTAACGATCGCACCCTACAAACAAAAAGGCTCAAGTAGACAAGTTGTTGGCATTAAAGCATAAGGCTGCAAATATTTAAATAGGATCCACAAAAGTAAGCAACGCACCCTCCAATTAGCATTCTCCAGATGCCTCCCACTGCTAGATTCTCTGCCTTTTTTTTCCAGCAGTGGCTGGCCCTAAATGATGCAGAGAGTGACGCTGATGTAATCATTCTTTGCATTGGTACACTGTGAATGGAGGACACCATTACGATGCCCCCTCGGGAACTTTCTCCATGAGAACATACCTCCAACAGGACAACCCTCCATCAGTACATTGAGGGCGCTAGGACAATGGGCCCTCTCTCCATCTCTCTATCAGAACTCTTACTCTCCATTAGGACACCCCTCCATCAGGTTATAGAGGGCACTAGGACAATGGACCCACGAGAACTCTCCATCAGAACCCTTACTCTACATCAGGACATGAAGGGCCCTATGACGATGGGTCTTCAGAAACTCTCTCCATTAGAACTCTTACTCTCCATTAGGACAACCCCCCATCAGGATATGGAGGGCACCATTATAATGTTAGGACAACCCCCCATCAGGATATGGAGGGCACCATTATAATGTTAGGACAACCCCCCATCAGGATATGGAGGGCACCATTATAATGTTAGGACAACCCCCCATCAGGATATGGAGGGCACCATTATAATGCCCCCTTGGGAACTCTCTCCATCAGAACTCTTACTCTCTGTTAGAACAACCCTCCATCAGGACATGGAGGGCGCTATGAGAATGGGCCCCCAGGAACTCTTTCCATGAGAACTCCTACTGTCCATCAGGCTACCTCCCCATCAAGACATGGAGGGCATGTCCCTCAGGAACTTTCTCCATCAGTACTGTTACTCTCAATTAGGACACCCCTCCATCAGGAAATGGAGGATGCTGTGACGATGCCCCCTCAGAGGGTAGGACCATGATACCCTGCTATTACAGTATAGCCTCAATCTTCTGGGTTCAGTTATGCTGGATGTCTTGTGGTGGAGAAGAGCTACTGTGGGGGACAGACAGAAGGTGAGTATTGCAGCCTGAGATAAATTGGGGTGACCTTTCACAAAAAAAATCCACACTATGAAATGAATGGCAAGCCTGACTTTTCCTGCAGGTAAATCATGCTCATGAAGAAAAGCCCTTAGATTTATCAACAATTGTGCATGGAAATGATCAGATTGCACATAAAACTGAATGTCTTGTCCGTGTTGGCAAATCCTAAAGAGATTGCACTGTTATGTCTGAGGCCAGCTTGAAGGAAAAATACTGTAATTTTAGTGAGCACACAATTTTGGCACAATTCACACTTGCGTTTGGGGCAGTCTCACTATTCTTCTATAAAAGGTGCCCATACACTGCACGATTCTCGTACGAGAATCGCGGGAAATCCCGCGATCGTACGAGAATCGTGCAGTGTATGGAAGGCATGCGACCGTTTCTACTGTACGGTCGCACGTCTTCCATCGAACCAGCATGTTTGAAAACCCGCCGGGAATCGTACGATTCTCGGCGAGTTGGTGGCCTGCTGGTTCGACAACTGCCGAACGGGCCGCTGTGCCCGTTTGCAGTCAGCGTAAGCCCGCCCCCTCATTACAGTCATCGCAAGCCCGCCCCTCAGGGGGCGTGGCTTGCGATGATCGAGAGTGCGATCTGCCCGTACGTTTTTTTAAATCCCTTTACAACCATCGCAAGACTAAGGTCTTGCGATGGTTGTACAGTGTATGGCCACCTTATGACTCAGTGGTGTTTGTTAACAACTAGCGGCAGGAAGCCCAACACAAGATAATGAGAGACAGACAACATCAATTCACATGTAATCAGACATACAGCAATTATCTGCGGATGATCACTCCTGGATGCAAACTGTTTGGGTTCAGGGGAAATTATTTGCAGGTAACTGCTGAATGTCTGATCACATGTGAAAAGCTGCAGGCAGTGTCAGCCTCTCATTGCTTTGTATAGCTCGTTCTGCCCACAGCTGCTCATATGAACACCAATGAGTCTCAAAGAGGGATTACTGAGAGTACTTCAAATGGAAGTGTGAATGGGGCCTTAAGGTATTTTCCAGTGTTTAGCTTAATATAATTTTTAAACAACATTCACATTTGTAAAGGCTTGCTCCCCCATAGCTTTCCTATTCATCAAACATAGAGATTTGCAGATTACTCAGCTCAAAAAATATTGGAATCTGTTTGTTGTGGGTTTATATGATCTATAGTTTACAGAAGCCACCCAGATTATCGTCATATGCTGTGTGGCGTGACTGTTATGAAGCTTACAGGAAGTCAGGAAAATGCAGTAATAACGGTCATACAGAAAAAGTGAACTCTTGGCTGGTCATCATCACAAGACTTATGTCAAATATAAATACTAATTTGTCTCATCAATTACCCAACATAATTACCTCAGAACTCTCTAGATAGTCAGTGCTCTATCCTGGCACAAACCACAGTCACTGTCCATCTAAGAAATCTTTTTTAATGACTTTGAATACCTCATACTCTTTGCAATTCAGAGTCTATTTCCAAGCTACAGGATGGAACAAAGCAACCATCAATCAAAAGTTCTTCAGTACTCCCTGATGTTTCTCAGAAAGTTCATATTGCACATCATTAGATCCAAACTCCATACAAGCAAGTCTGAGTAGCTGTCCAGTATTAACTTTCTGAGCACACAAGTACAATACAAAACGCAGTATGATGTAAATACAAAGAGGGGGAAGTCATCAAAACTGAGCAGACAGAATCAGGAGCAGTTGCCAAGAAACTGAACAAACTGAAGAGAGAAGCCGATTGCTTGTTATGAGCAACTGCTCCAGATTCTGTCTGCTCCAGTTTTGATACATTTCCCATGATATATGTAAAGGATAAAAGAACTGCAGTGATGAGTAGTCTGCAGCCTGTTTTGAGTAGTGCCCACTGTTGTATCTACCTAACATAAATGCATCCCCCAAAAGTTGCTGTAATTAACTGGTAGCTATACACTACTAAATGTGCCTTGTACTGGATCTTCAGTCTCTGCTAACACTTCTGTTACAAGACATAGCAAAGCCAGGCGCGGATACTCTCCATCATGATGCTGATCATCACAATGCTCAGTAAACCCCTCCACTGAGACCCCTCTCCTTCAGGAAACCCCTTCTATCAGGATACCCCTTCCATCAGGACTACCCCCTCCATTAAAGAACCCTCTCTATCAGGATACCACTTACCTGGACACCCCCCTGTGGGTATGTCAGCTCCAGTGGAAGCATACCCCCCACCAGGACTGCCCTCCACCAGTATAACACTTTACCGGGACTAGTCTCCATCAGGATACCCCTTTATCAGTACAGCCCTCCAACAGGACTACCCCCTTTTTCAGGACCTCCCTCAATCAAGCTTCTCACCCTCTATCAGGTCGCATGCCCTGCTCACCTGTGCAATGTTGGCAGCTTCAGGAGCAGGTCCATACTGCATGGAGGTGAAGATCTCCTTCACTGTGGGTTTGTCGGTTCCAGTAGAAGCAGCCATGCCTTTCAGTTCCGCCAAGTTCAATTGACAGCCAGTTCCAGCACAGACAACCCCTAGGTGGAGCTCCAGCACCGATAACAGTACAACCACTTCCACCGGAAAAAGGTCGCGTTAGACACTAATTTTCTCTAATAACGCAACAGTACAGCTAAATGTTCGTATTTTTTATTTCAAGTACATACGTACCTAATTTGAGTATGTGCCGCATAAATAAGAGTATCACATTGTACAGAACTGTCAAGCAAAATATAAACGGTAGCAAAAAGGAAGCAGGGCACAGAGAAGTGATCGGAAGTGGGGCATTAAGAAGTGTCTGTACCCGGAAGTAATCCATGTACCGTTTCACAAGCGGCTGGCGTTGCCCAGAGAAACATATGATTTGTGGAGTTTAAGAGCGGGTGTTCAAAGACTCAGATCAAAGGTAACAGGGGGATGTTATGTGGTGCTTGGAAGATCCCAGAATGTTTCTCTCTGCTCGTTCATACTAAGGGTTCACTCACACCAAATTTGATCTGCTAATTGCTTGCCTGCCATGCTGATATAATTGCTTCAGGGCTTTCTGGGACTATGACATGTAACACATGTGCAGATCAGGAGTTTTGACAACACAGAGGATCAGTATGACAACCAGGCAACTAGTTCTGAAGGTTATCTATGGCAGTTTGCTACTGACAGGTTTATTGGAAAAAAAATTTTTTCCTGTCGGTGTGTGCTATATGTCATCACATTCTAGAAATATCCTCCATGCTGAAGGTTTGTTTGGGTGCATTGACCTGCTGGTTCTTCTATAGGTAAGTTGCATTGAGACCTTCAGGCAGGGCCACACTCTTGTTTTGCAGTTATGTACGTATGCAAAACCCATATTTTAGCATTTTTTTGTAACACATTTTTATTAACATTTTCAATACAGGACAAACATTGCACATAAAGCCTTGGTTCTCAACTGGTGGGTCGCGACCCCGTGTTCAGTGGGTCGCCACATGCCTTCCACTTTTCTAGGTGAGAGACTCCTCAGCCTCCCCCTAGTGCAGCACCATCACTTCTCGAGCCGAGCGGCCATTCAAAATACTGCGCGGCCCTGCAGGTCAGCTTGAGGTGGGGGTGGGCTGGAAGTATGACCAAAAGGGAGCTCCATCCATCCATACAAGCATGCATTGAGGGGAGAGTGTGTGAGATTATGTCTGTGGTTGTGTCTGTCAGCGTTTTTGAGGGTCCGTTCACACTTGTTCAGTGCATTAATCGCAAAGTCCCATGCTATTAATGCACTGCACCACGCAATTGCACCTACTGCGCGTTGTGGTGCGGAAGGTGTTTTGCATTGCCATTAATTTACATGACACCCCAAATGCACCTCCTGCCCACAGTCCGATAGCCTGAACCCAAACACCCGGCACTGCAATGCCATGCATTCCATTGGGTCGCGACTAAATGGCCAAGGACAAATATGGGTCCGGAGGTTACACAGGTTGAGAACCACTGACATAAAGTATATGTTTACGTCAGAAAAAGCTGTTCTTTCAACAGAAATCAAACCACAAAAATGCAATACAGCACAGAGGCGCCATAACAGCTCATCAGATAAAACAGTCAATTAGACATAGTACAGAAGAAAATGAAAGAAGTTCTAAAATGCCATAAAATCCAAAATAAGAGAAATGGGGTCCACTAGCTGGTCTGCAGCATTCTATCTTGACACTTTTTTTCAGCAAAGCATGGTGATGCACAATGAAGGGAGTTTACTAAAACTGGAGCAGAATCTGGAGCATCTGTGCAGGACAACCAATCAGCTATTAGCTTTCTTTTCAAAGCTTAACTGAACAAGCTGAAGATAGAAATGGATTGGCTTCTATGCACAGCTTTTTCAGATTCCAGTCTTAGTAAATTCACGCCATTGTATGTGTGTCGTGTTCATATTAACTAGCACCCCGTCACTCGTTTACAGTACCTCCAAACATTGTGAGAGGTCATTATATTGTGATGTGATGCATGCAAACCGAATGGGCTGCCTTGACACAACACACAAAACATATGTGTGTTTTGTGTTCACATGCAGAGGTGTAAAGGGACCCTTTAAAAAGAGCTCCAGGAAAATCTTGTATTAACCTTTGCAGTGGGACTGCCCCCACACTGCCAGGGTTAAGTGCTCATTTTTGTGTAGATTTAAAAAAAAAGTTATAGTCACCTCAACTGTGGAGCCGGCTTGTTCTTAGGCCGGTCCCTGTAGCCTTTCTCCTGTCCTCTCCTGTGGCCTAAGGTCCCGTAAATCATCACATCTGTAAACAGTGTATAGATGTGAGGATGCTGAGGAACATTCCAATGCTGCAATGTAGGAGGAGAGAGGCTGGAGGCAGGTACGTGTCAGCTGGCTGGCTCGGAGCTTCGGCTGAGTATAACTTAATTTTTTAACCTGGACTAAAATAAGCACTTAACCCTTGCAGTGCGGTGGTATCCCCACTGCAAAGGTTCATAAAAGTTTTTTTCCTGGAGTTCTTCCTTAAAATGGCATTTTAATACCTCTGAAATGTGGCCGTGCATGGTAAATCCCTAAATCTATCACACATGATACGGTATGATTTTTCATAGGCTCTGGTATAAGCTCTGGTATAAACCAGCAATTCTACAATAGTTTGCCAATGTGGTCACGTTCTGACCTACCTCCTACTACCCAATTGGCTAGTAAGACCTCCCATCACAAATAGAAGGTATAGGGCCACTGGGTATCTCTGGCCATAAGACAGCTCTGTGGGTTTTCTGAAAGTGATTTGTGGATGTCTTTTGAAGACTGGGAACATTTACATGCCTACGTTCCATGAAGTAAACCAGTGGACTGCCATTGCTGGGATCTTTCTAAAAGTTCTAGTTGTCTGATTTTAGCTGACCTCAATACCTCTGAGCTCCAGACATGGAACAAAAATACAGAAAAGGTCAGAATTCTTTACCTGTATGCTTGTGGGACACTTCCAGGTCCTTATGTGACAACCCCGTGTCACTATTGTGAAAATCACATGTGTTCAATATCAGGGCCAAAACCTGCAACATCTAGAACTGTCTTTGAAATCAAGGACAGCAAGCTTGTGTACATTTGTAAAGTGCTAAAGTATCAAGGTTATTGGTAGTGTTTTTACAGAGAAAAGCATTTAACTGGCCATTAGAGAGGAATGTTTACATTCAGCGCTGCCCAAACTGTTGGCGCTCTATAAATCCTGTATAATAATTCAGCATGGAACTGATGGGCAGTATGGCAAAGGCAAATGTTTGTTGAGATGATTCCAAGATAAAGAGGCGTTTTCTCTTCTAAAGCTGGCAAATAAGCACTTACACAAAGCAACAATACTTCTGTGCTTTTAGTTTTTATTTCAGGTTCCTCTAGGTGAACTTTGGCTTACACAGGGCAAAGATGGAAGCTGACAAATCCCTGCTGTCAGCAGAACTGAATGTAGAGATGGAGGACGCGCTCTATGAACACATGCTGCTGAAGGTATGACATTCTACATGGTGCAGTACACCTTTAGTGTTAGTATTCTGCATATTTGCCATAGTTTGCCACTGACTGATATTTCTTAATGGGAACTACAATGTTAAAGACCGCAAAACAATTTAAGGTGACACCTTTTAGTGACTAAATTTTTTTTTTTAAATACTAACTTTTAGGGCCTGTTCATACCATTGCCTGACCAGAATATTTTTTTATCCGCACCAAAAACGCATACACAGTAATCCCAATGCTTTTAATAAGGCTAGTTCACACCATTGCGTCACGTTCCAGGGTTTCTAAAAAAGTATAGCATGCTACATTTTTTTCTGCACTAGAACACACATAAATGCATGTAAACACATACAATACTATAACATAAACTCTGTACTGACTTCATATTAATATTGAAATGCAGTAATCAAAAGCAAATTAAGACAAATAGACACACTTAATACAAAGACAAATAGGCACACAATATTTTCCTGGATAATGCATGCCGAAGATCAGCAGAACAGTGCGTACACAGGGGATTTCATTTTTCTGGTTAGATGAGAGTTCTGGTTGAATACCGGATAACAGAGAGTTTACTGTATTTTGTAATATTTCAGTTAGTTGCTAAATCAATTTGACAATGTATTGGCCTTTATCACCTCTGTTTATTCCCGTTTAACATGGTACATCATCTTTTTTTCTTGCTATGGTAAATAAATTAAAAAACCTCTCCAATATAATAATGTACCCACACTTAAAAAAAAAAATGCTTCTCAGCGATACTCCTGAGAACATTTCTAGACATAGCATATACAGTGTGGAAAATAATTATTTGATCCCCTGCAGATTTTCTAAGTTTGCCCACTTACAAAGAAATGAAAGGTCTATCATTTTTATCATAGGTGTATTTTAAATGACACAGACAGACTATCAACCAAAAATCCAGAAAAAACACATGATACAAATGTTATAAATTCAGTTGCAGTTCAGTTAGTAAAATAAGTATTTGATCCCCTACCAACCAACAATAATTCTGGCTCCCACAGACTGGCTATGTGGTACACAGATTAGTCCTGTCAATTTAAGAAGGTGCTCCTAATGAAAACTCGTTATGTATATAAAAGACACCTGTCCACAGAATCTCTTTCTTCCAAATAAACCTCACCACCATGGTCAAGACCATAGAGCTGTCAAAGGACATTAGGGACAAGATTGTAGACCTGCACAAGGCTGGAATGGGCTACAAGACTATCAGCAAGAAGCTTGGTGAGAAGGAAACAACTGTTGGAGTGATTATTCGCTAATGGAAGGAATACAAAATAACCATCAATTGCCGTCGTTCTGGAGATCCATGCAGGATTTCGCCTCATGGAGTAAGGATGATCATGAGAAAAGAGAGGGATCAGCCCAGAACTACATGGGAGGGGCTTGTGAATGATCTCAACGCAGTTGGCACCACAATCACCAAACAAACCATTGGTAACACAATACACCGCCATGGATTTAGATCCTGCAGCGCCCGCAAGGTCGCCCTCTTTAAGAAGGCCCGTCTGAAGTTTGCCAATAAACATCTAAATGATTCCGAGAAGGATTGGGAGAAAGTGCTGCGATCAGATGAGACCAAAATTGAGCTCTTTGGCATTAACTCGACTCTCTGTGTTTGGAGGAAGAAAAATGCTGACTGTGACCAAAAGAACACCATCCCTACAGTTAAGCACGGAGGTAGAAAAATTATGCTTTGGGGCTTTTTCTCCTCTAAAGGTACAGGCCGACTTTGCTGCATTGAGGGGCCAATGGACGGGGGCCATGTATTGTAAAATCTTGGTTGAGAACCTTCTTCCCTCAGCCAGAACACTGAAGATGGGTCGTGGATGTGTCTTTCAGTATGACAATGACCCAAAACATACCGCCAAGGCAACAAAGCAGTGGCTCAAGAAGAAGCACATTAATGTAATGGAGTGGCCTAGCCAGTCTGCAGACCTTAATCCTATAGAAAATGTATAGATGGAGCTGGAACTTCGATTTGCCAAGCAACAGCCAAGAAACCTTAAGGATTTAGAGAAGATCTGTAAAGAAGAGTGGACCAAATCCCTCCTGAGATGTGTGCAAACCTGGTAACCAAATACAAGAGACGTCTTACCTCTGTGCTTGCCAACAAGGGTTTCTCTACTAAGTCATGTTTTGCTTGGGGATCAAATACTTATTTTACTCACTGAACTGCAACTCAATTTATATTCATTTGTATCATGTGTTTTTTGTAGATTTTTGGTTGATTTAATCTGTCTCTATCATTTAAAATACACCTATGATAAAAATGATAGACCTTTTATTTCTTGGAAAGTGGGCAAACTTACAGTGGATCAAATAATTATTTTCCACACTGTAATAATATATTATATGGCTAATGTATTTTCTCGCCCTGTCCTTGTCTTCTAGTCTTGATGTACATAAACACTTTGATCCAGCAGCTTCAGGTCATGTTCACACGTCTGCACATTGCTCTCCTGTTGCTCTGCTGCTGTGTTTTGTCAAAAATACGGGGTATGCTTTGGTATCTCCATAATAGTTCAAAAAAACGTGTGGGTCGCCTCTATCCATATAGACATATAGATTATTATTTACAGTTGATGCTACATACAAATGTATTTATAAAATAACTAAAATCATATGCCCCATACATATATATTCAACCCTGGTATTCCTCCAATGGCAACCATAGTTACAAAACATTCCATGGATGCAATATCCCAATATAATACCATCATAGTTCATCTAAAGTGGTTCAATTATCGTATTGACAATCCATTCATGATAAAAAAATATCCAGATACATGTGACATATTTTGTCCCTACGCGTTTCACACTTGGCTTCCTTACACCGTCTGTCGTCACACCCGGGGTCTCAAGGGGAGAAACACCTTGGGTGATGTGGGTAGCCCAGCCATTCCCTTATTGGGACAATTCCTAAAAATATCAAATTACATATAAGACCAAACTCTGGCATATGTTGTCTCTAAAAAATTAAGTGTCTGTTTATGTGAGTTGGTGCAATAAATCATCGTAGAAATGTGCATTAGTATAGCCTAAGAAACGTAATCCATCTCTAGTCAGTAGTCGAAATTAAATCTACAATGTGTATATATACTTATATATGTGTCATAAATAATTAGGTACCTTTTAATGTGAACATCGTGATTCAAAAAATATATACTCCGAACCCATAGTGAGATATTAGATTCTTGATTAAGTGTTCAAAAGAGTGAGATATAGATCCTTGTATAAACAAGATCTGCTGTCAGAACAAAAATGACACAAACAATCCGTGCCTTGCAGTAAAAACTGCTAGTTTGTGAAATAGATACAAGATCAGTCATAGTGATACTCTGTAACCACCCGTTACTAAATGTTATCATAGTGCTTCCCCTTGTGTTGAGCTCCCGATAGGAGTCCATTCCCCATCTCCAAACAAAAACTGAAAATATAAACCACTCTTAACTCCCCCATACCCCCACACCATGCATATCAGGCCCATAAAGTGACTGGCTAGTTAAAACGTGATAATAGGGAAACGGCAGTAACCTCAAATTCAGGCAGAGAGTTGTATTAGATGTTGTAGCCCTGGTTTCCGGCTCCGTGGCCCAAGCTTTCCACAGTCCCCCTCCCGCCAGCCCTCCCCTTATATCGCCCCCATCGTCGAATAAGACGCACCGGACACAGGTGTTCCGGGCGTCAATCTCCGATGTGAACTCCCAAACGCGCACGCGCCTAAGGTGTCTTGTGCGCTCCCTGGTCTCCAACCGCCGCTACTTAGGTAACGGGGATGCCAATTCGATAGGTTGACCCCTAGTGGCCGCCAGGAGGACCTCGGCCGCCGGGCTGGAGACAACATATGCCAGAGGTTTGGTCTTATATGTCATTTGATCTTTTTAGGAATTGTCCCAATAAGGGAATGGCTGGGCTACCCACATCACCCAAGGCGTTTCTCCCCTTGAGGTCCCGGTGTGACAAAGGACGTGAGGTGTGGTGGTGGGGCCGGATTGTTAGCCGCACATCTCACTTCGGTCCATAGATATCCTCCATACTCCAGGCACCAAGGTTGTGCGATTATCCCAATTTTGATCCCCTGAGGAAGCCAAGTGTGAAACGCGTAGGGACGAAATATGTCATATGTATCTGGATATTTTTATTATGAATGGATTGTCAATACGATCATCGAACCACTTTAGATGAACTATGATGGTATTATATTGGGATATTGCATCCATGGAATGTTTTGTAACTATGGTTGCCATTGGAGGAATACCAGGGTTGAATATATATGTATGGGGCATATGATTTTAGTTATTTTATAAATTAATTTGTAGGTTGCATCAACTGTAAATAATAATATATATGCCAAATAAATGTTGTTACATTTTATTTATGCATTGATTCTTTATACCTCTCTATAAAACCCTTTTTTTTCTCCCTTTTGTTTTCTATCTCCATAATAGCAATGGTTTTGATACATCTGCTAATTCCCTTTTAGTATTCTCTAAAATTGTTGCATTGTATCTCCTTATCAAGATATATGTATTTCCTATGATCCTAATCTAGTGTCCATAATGCGGTATTTTCCCAATTCACTACTGCCCATAATATTTGAAGAACTTTTGACCAGAAGTGTAAATAGCCTTAAGTACATTACGTGCAACATTCCAATTTGCCCCATTCTCACAACAGTGAATAATTCACACAGAACAAATGGACATGCAGTTTTTAGCAAAAAGACTTTATATTGGCATTATAAAGACATCAGCCAACTGTCTGGTTCTTGCCTAATGTGTGTAGAACCAATTCATCTGTGTGCAGAAAACTACAGTACAGTATACTATTGCCCCTCTGTCAATTTTTAACAAAAGATAATAGATTTATTAATGAAGTCTAGTGTTGGACATACACACAGCAGTTTTCAGGAATTTCAACCAGCTTTACATTTAAAAGAAAGACAAAACAGAGCACTGCAGATTACTAACAGTTTCTGTCAAAAGGGTGACATATTCAAAACCATTGATGGTTGTTTTTGGTTTTGTTTTTTTTTGTATTTTGAATTAAAAGCTTGATGAATGTGGTTGATACTGTTTAAAGATTGTAAAGTGTAAGTGTCTGTATAGCCAATACAAAGCCTGTTTTCAGTAGAAAACTCTGGTTAGTTTATTTTTGCAGTCTGTTTTCTGTTTCCCTTTACTTCTTGACCTAAAGAGGCTTCTCTTCTCGTAGCCAAAGTTGGGCCAAAAGACATCTGCAAGAGGGATCCTGCCAACCTATCTCACTATCCTTGAATGTCTGTGGCCAGATTTAGTCAACAGGCAGAGGAAGAAAGAGCTGAAATATTTAAATTTTGCTTTACAGTTCATGTTTATCCCAGTATGTAGGAGGGAGTCCCCTTAACTGCTTTGGATGATCACACCCTTGTTAAAATACATTTTGTTTTTTCACAATACCTTATCACATTGCAGGCAAAGCAAGAAATACAAAATAGGCTACCAATTCAACAGGGATCAAAACAAATCCGACCCCAGCCAGGTAAGTGTCGCTTTATTGCCATCAGGGTTTTTGTAAAATGCACATACTTAGTCACAGCTACTATAGCACATCACATCAGGAAGGTTATTTATGTAGTGATTGCTAAAGAAGTAGCTTGTCATCACACCTAAGGTGACACTAAACTCAGGAGTTAAATCTTAAAAATGAATGTATGTACCTTTTTAACTATTAACAAAAATGTATCTTCTTTGTGTATCACTCGGCTGTAGATCCTCAAATCCTCTCTGAATTCATTCTGACACTTTCTTCCTTCTGCAGGGTTGCTACTTTTGTTCCCCACGGTCCCTTTGTGTGTTGTAAAGTAGCCACCGCTCCAAGCTCGCTCCCATAGTGAACTACAAATCTCAGTACCAATTAGTAAGCTAAATGTGATACTGTCCATCAGAGGAGTGAGCTTGGAGCCGTGGCTACTTTACAACACACACGGGTAACACGGGGAACAAAAGTAGCCACCCTCCAGAAGGAAGGACAGGGTCAGCATGGATTCAGAGATGATTTGAGGGTATACAGCTGAGTGATATACAAATAAGATACATTTGTGTTAATAGTTAAGGTACATTTTTTATATTTCAATCCTGAGTTTAGCGTCACTTTAAGCTAGCTATATACGGCTAGACTTTCGTTGAACGTTCACACAAAATCCTATAATATTGTTTGCCAGATGATGCCATCATTGTCAACTAATTTTGTTTAAAAGTCCTTCAAAATTTTGTCCAGACGTGCCACTTGAATGGGATTCTTATTAAACTGGTTTATTTTATTGCTTATGAAATTAGCAAATGATAATGCAAAGCAAAACTATTGAAATGCATATTTCTCCAATCATCTTCCAGGCCAGCAAGGAGGACTTCAACAGGAAACACAATTAAAAAAGTGGTTAAATACCCTCCCACCCCTCCTTACCTCAGTTTTTTTGTTTCCTACCGTCCAGGAACCTTCGACACTTTTCTTGTTTTTCCTGACCGGTTGGCCTTGTGGTCACGGGTCTCCCCTCTGGGCAGCTCTGCGAGCAGGTCTTCAACACTACCGGCCGTCTTGCTGTAGGTGCAGAGGGGTCCCTTTGTCTTCTCCAGGGTCCTCTTCCTCTTGGTCCATGTTGGGGGACTGGGTCCTGGAGCTCCCTGGCGATGCCCTGTCACGACGACTTGCCTCGGTGAGGTGGCTGGACGCTGGGTCCGGCGTCCGCATATGAACATATTGTAATTTTCATATTTAGAATGCATTACTGTATGTTCATTAGCATATGCGATTGTAGAGGTCATACTACACACATATACCACAGTCTACTTATAATGCTGATTTTGCATACACCATACAGAAACCTTTTGTATTGTTCTTTCATACACTCCTATACCATACGTCGGGGCTAAAAATGTCAAGTCCTGAGTTACTAGCCAGGGCTTAAGAGTTACTCGCCACCAGTTGCCCCACCTAACCCCTGTCCCGACCTTAATTCCGCCCCTAAACACACCCTCTTAAATTATCTTATGATCATTCTTATCTTATGATAGTTTCCGCTTGTAAACGGCAAATTAGGGATTCCTGATGCAGGAAAATGCATGTTCCAGGCGCAGGAATCCCTAATCCCTGAAATATAGGTGTAAATTGGGGCCTAATATACACATACACATTAATACACTTCTCAACGTAACCCTCCCCCCCGCACAAATATAATAATTTCCTCCCACACACAAAAAAATAATATATCCCCCCTGTTATAAGTCCCCCACATATAAAATAATACATCCCCCATCCCAACTACCCCTGCAACACATAAAATAATACACTCCCCCATTATAAGCCCCCCC